CTCTTGTCTTTTTTTATTACTAAAGGTGTAAACTGGAATGTACTACATGCACTTTGAATACACTGCCATCACTGCATAAACTCACCCAGCATCGAGAGCAAACATAGTCAGAAATAGGGATATACGGGTTGCACATTAAAGAAAAAAATAAAAGTTTATTTTATTTTTCACCTATGAGAATCTATGCCCTAGTCTTTTGCACATTATTTCCACAAAAGATCCAGCACTGATCTGATATGGGCTAAAAGCTTGAGATCATTTTCTTGACTAATTCTGATCATTTCAAAGAATAGTGCAAAAAACGGTGGGAGGGGGGCTCTTTATGGCATAATACACCCTTCTGAAGAAAGACAGAATAGATATACAACATCTGTTCATAAATAATGCTTAGTCTGTGAAATAAAAAGAATCGTTCGAGCTATGAAGCATGCAAATGAAAATTAAGCTTAGGTCAATAACATAAAATTGAAGCTATTTATCATTACTTTTTAACTGGAGCATTCACAAGATTTGAAAATTTGCATATAACTTTGGGAATGAATGCATAATCAAGAAATCAAAAAATAATATTCCACTGTAATTTTAAAATCAACGATCTCCTACTGTACTTTAAAATCAATAAGAAAATTCCTTTAATTTTAGAAACAATTATTATTATTAGAAGATCATACAGCATTAAATTATTTATGTATGGTAGTCTTCTTCCCAGCTGTGCCCACCAGCGGCCGAGCGGTAAAGTCGCTGAACACTGGTAGTTCGGTCTGAGGTTCGAATCCCCCGAACGGGCGGCTGCATGGGCGTTTTCGTGGTTTTCCCCATGTGTAACGTGTATACGAGCCAGTTTCCATTAGAAAGTCCTCCATGAAAGGCATCCCTCCCTTTAGGCAGATAGCCCTCGAGGCTTTGCCATAATTACACACACACACACCCTTTGCAAAATCTTAAGAACTCAAATGGTATAGAGGAGGTTAAGAACTTTGTTTCCTAAAAAAAAATCACTCAGAACGTTTCAATATCTTAAAAACAGTGAAATGAGCAATAAATAACATAAAAGAATACAAAAACAAAAAATTCTGAAAAGCAAAGTATAATTAATGATATTTTATCTTATATTTTCAAGAGAAAAAAATTACAATGAAATAAGCTATATCCCTTAATACAAATATTAATTATCATAATAAAAAAATTAAACAACTTTCCGTTGAAGAAAAAAAATCATGCAAAACTTTTCAGTATCTTACAAACAGTGAAATAAGCCAAAAATAACATGAAAGCAACTCAAAAAACATAAAATTCCGCGCAGAATTTTACTCTACAGCTCTACAGAACAACTTTAAAAAAAAAAAAAAAAAATTATCTCTACATATAAAAGAAAGATAAATAAAAGAATAATAAAAGAATAATAGATATAATAAAAGAAAGGAGCTTAACACCTTTTCAACGCGATTTTTTCTAAAATCGAAGCTTCCGAGTACACTTCTCACATCTCACATCTTTAGAAATGTGATTTTGGCAACAATTTTCCCGTCTTATTGTTGTTGATAGATTTTTGATGAAATCGCATCATTTTGAATAGTTTCATTCTTTTAGAAATATGGGTTTGGCAACAATTTTTCATCGTATTTCTTATGTTACTGTTTTTAAGAGATTGGCGTATTTCATTGTCATTTTTATATATATATATAATACACTTTTATTGATTTTTTTTATAAAGTTTTTCTGCAGAGTAAAATTCTGCGCGGAATTTTATGTTTTTTGAGTTGCTTTCGTGTTATTTTTGGCTTATTTCACTGTTTGTAAGATATTGAAAAGTTTTGCATGATTTTTTTCCTTCAACGGAAAGTTGGTTAATTTTTTATTAGGATAATTAGTATTTGTATTAAGGGATATAGCTTAGTTCATTGTAATCTTTTTCGCTTGAAAATATAAGATAAAATATCATTAATTATACTTTGCTTTTCAGAATTTTTTTGTTTTTTGTATTCTTTTGTGTTATTTATTGCTCATTTCACTGTTTTTAAGATATTGAAAATTTTTGAGTGATTGGTTTTTAGGAAACAAAGTTCTTAATCTCCTTCATACCATTCGAGTTCTTAAGATTTTGCAAAGGGAAGTTGGTTCATTTATTTATTAGGATAATTTAATAATTGTACTAAGGGATATTGCTTATTTCATTGTAACTTTGTTATACGTAATAATTTTTTATGAAGTTGTTCTGCAGAGTAAAATTCTACGCAGGTTTTAAATTTAACGTTTGGTGTTCCCTTCAGCCATTTTCCCGGTACATTTAAAAGCCAGACGAAGGCTGGCAGCGAAGCTACTAGTATATATATATATAAATGACAATGAAATATGTCAATCTCTTAAAAACAATGACATAAGAAATACGATGAAAAATTGTTGCCAAACTCATATTTCTAAAAGAATGAAACTATTCAAAATGGTGAGATTTCATCAAAAATCTATCAACAACAATAAGACAGGAAAATTGCATATATAAAAATGACAATGAAATATGCCAATCTCTTAAAAGCAGTGACATAAGAAATACGATGAAAAATTGTTGCCAAACACATATTTCTAAAAGAATGAAACTATTCAAAATGATGCGATTTCATCAAAAATCTATCAACAACAATAAGAGAGGAAAATTGTTGCCAAAATCACATTTTTAAAGATGTGAGAAAGTGTACTCGGAAGCTTCATTTTAAAAAGTTTTTTTTAAATACAAAATATTATCATTTTCCCAAAATTCTTTTTGTAAAAGCAATCGCAAGGATGAAAGTTTAACGTGTCCAAAAATCAAAGAAAAGTAAACTTTTTTAGAAAATATCCCGTTGAAAAGGTGTTAAGCTCCCTTTGTTAATTAAATTCTTATTTAATCGATTTATTGAAACCCGAAATTTATTTTAAGTTTGTAAAATAGCTAAGTGCCTACGTTTCATGACGATGTGAAAATGGAGTATGTAGAGTAAAATCTCGCTTTCCTATAGCCCATTAGGTCTCAAAATGACGCGATTTCGTCACAAAACATAAAATAAAAAAATTCAAATTCGAATTTCGAAAAAATCGCTTCGAGTTGCACTGGCTCTTGTGTAGATGCACCTATGTACCAAATTTCGTAGCCGTGGGTCTATTAGCTTAAGCGCAAGCGCGAACGAAAGACACAAACACACACACACAGAGACAAACTCACAGACTCTTTCTTTTATTATATGTAGAGATTTCAAGAGTAATTTATAGCTTTGAATGAATGCTCATTAATAGATAGAGCACTCTCTCCTGACTCGGTATCAGATTCAAAATAATGATTTTCAAATGCATTTTTCAATATTTCCCATTTAATTACTAGGTCTTGATATTTATCCTTAAGATTATCAGTTGTTACATCTGCATAGTGCCCTAATAATATAGATAAATAAAATGGCTTCGAAAAGTTTTTGGGATTGAGCAGTTATATGACTTGATACAACTTCTTATGCCTTTTAAACCTACGTTCCGTCGATGAAATGGTGTTATCCATTGTGAAATTAAAGACAGTAACTTCGAATTGTTTGATAGAGCAATTGAAATTATAGTCGGACGATTCTTCGCCGTCTATTTGTTTCACGTTTCGACATCATCTAGCAGGTAGTTCTTCTATAATTATATTACAACCCAGCCATTCTAGTTTATTATTGCAATCCATTGCAAACAATTTTAACGCGTTAAATATTAAATCGATGTTTCTAGAAATGGCTTTTAAAGATCTTGTAGCCTCCCTAACCATATTACATGCTAGGAGGTAATATTACCGGCGTAGTATATTGAAATATTTTCAAATATACGTGAGCAGACAAAATTTTTCTAAAAGCTGATATTTTATCCGGAATAGATTTTGCCATTTGTCGTATCTGTGCATTTTGTATATCGTTCGAAGATATACTTTTGAGTTGAAAGTATTAATTCTACGCACGTTTCCTCACGCCGCAGGGCTGTCTCGCCGAGTCATCTGTGTCGATTCGATCGTTCGAGTTTCTTCATCGGCCCGGAATATCCGCCACTGCACCCTGTGCTTGGAACTATAGATGGCCGTTTTTGGGAAGTTTCAATACGTAATTTCTAAGGAGGGGGTAAATGGTAGTTAGAATGTGACAAAACTTAAAATGTTACTCTTTTTATTGATCTGTTATTTTTAAGAAAACTTGATTGATGAATATATTATTTTAATGAGCTAATTATAATAAATAATTTTGATTTATTATCGTTCTTTATTATAAAAAGCTTGTATTTCCAAATGACTGTGTGTTCACGGGCTCACTGACAGTCGCTAGCCTCTTTACTGGCCTCTTCTGCTTTCACACAAAATAAAATTCTCTTTTAGAAAGTTTTCAAAATAAAATTAAAAAAAAAAAAAAAAAAAAGAAGTTTATCCTTTGTATACCAGTTTAATTGTACGCCTACAAAGTTAAGTGAAAGAGGAAGGAAGAATTTTTATGAAACTGAAATAATTATTAATGAAAAATATGCTTTAGTTTAAAAAATTATTATGCTTCAGAAGTAATGTACATATAATACGTGACAACTTAGAATTTTGATTAAAATAACATTAAATATTTTTACAAAATGCTATTTTTCTTTTATTAGAAGCATTATCAGTATGTGATGAATGCATGTAAAGTACTAATAGCTGCTTGAAAAGAACTATGAAATTTTAAATTCCATAAAACTTAATTTAATATTAGCCTCATGGGAAAGCTTAAGAGGAACTAGTGTCATATTGCATCAAAATGCAGGTAGATTTCCTGCGCGATTAACATTAATTTAATTAAATGAAACAGATCCACTGATTAATAAAGTTAAATTTTGTTTCATATTAAATTAAAATAATAACTGCATTTAAAAATCAGAAAAAAAATCTCTTTTACACTTAATTAATACGATTTTAAGAATAAAAACATTTTCTTACTCAAAGAATTAACTAAAATACTTTCAAAATAAGAAACAAATGAAAAACATACTCTATATAGTGCTTGCCAGTCATTTAGTGTAGCTTGTGCATTTTTCATACGAGATAGCAATCTCTGAAAAGGAATATTTTTTAGCACATTAAAATATCTTCAGTAAGGTAAAATAATAACCACTCATTTGATAGGAAGAACTTACAGGAAGAAACTTGATAAATTTTAAACTGTCCTGCAGAGCAGTCATCACATCTTTATTCTTGGCCAAAATAAAATACTTAATAGCTTCTTGACGCTCCTGAATTAAATTTACGTCATTTGTAGGAAGAAGAAACCAGCGTCTATACATCCAAACAGATATAGATAAAATTATTAAAAACACTAGGGTCTAGGATACAACATTTAAAGTAAAATATCAAGTAAATGCAAAAATATGAAAAGTACACAGTACTTCAACTCTTTTTTCCCAATGCCAGATTTACATTTGTTGCATATGCCTGAAAGATAAAGTTTTTAGAATTGTATAAAATAAAATGGAAATGCAAATGCAAAAGGAAAATGCAAATGCAAATGAAATATGCTGAAAAATATCATTGTTTTCTTATTAAGCTTTAATTTTTTCATTATTAATTCAGTCTTCCAAAAAATACATGAAAACCCACCACAGGACAAGTAGATAAGATTGCTAAATACTAATAGTTAGTTTAAACTTAATACCAGTAGCTAATTGGACTGGCTGTATATAGGTTTTTCTAGCCCTTTCAGTACGTGTGTCGATTTCTCTCTTTTGGTATGTGTGATGTATTCTCTTTGTCCGTACTATGAATACAAGGCGATTTAATCTCAGAATCTTCAATGAAAACCCCTCTAAAGTATTTTGTCTGAGAAGAAAGTGCTTCCATATAATAGAAAAAGTTTGCTGAGGTTCAGATACTTATGTAAACACATAACGTTTTTGGTTATGTGTTTATATAATCAAAAAGGTTGTGTTGGCAGAAGATATTCTGCAGAAGCTCATTTTTAATACTGAAGAAGGATAAACTTAGTAAAACATAAGTGTTTTAAAAGATATACACAGTGCCTATCAGTTCCATAGAGATAAATATACTTAATTTCTATTATGAAGAATCGGCATGCATGTTCCTTGCATTGCAAGAAAACAAGGACATTTAGAGCCAGAAAATTTTAAATGCACATATTCCTCAATCTGAACTTGTGCACCTCAAAGCATGAATTCTGAATTTTAAATTTTCTGCAAATTTAATGAATTTTTTATTAACAAACCCAGGAATTTAAAATGCTGGGTTCTGCCACTCAGCAAGATAAAAGATATTTATGTTTCATATTTAATCAGAAAATTCAGAGACTGAAAAGAAAAGTATTACCGCTCCATAAAACATAAGGTATGAGTCTCTTAATTTAAAATGCAATTCTTTGTCTTTCTTATAACCAATTAATTGCTGGACCTGTGAAATTACGCTAGTTGGTCTCATTCAAATCATTATACATTTTATTTTTTATAATAAATGTGAAGTTTTAGGTGGCTGACTGTGTAATGGCTAGTTTACCTGAAATAGTTGCAAAAGTGTAAGCAGAAACAATTTTCATTTAACTATGTCATATTAAACATCATTTAAAAACACCACACTGAAGACTACATTAAAGATTATACTCATTTTGCTTTTTACATATGTACTAATTTTACTTAATGACTAGCATGTGACACATAATATTCATTACTTATATTACACTTCAACATATTTCAAATGAATACTAGTCTAAAATTCAGTGCTTCTAAAATTCATAAACAAAATATTAATAAAGAGTAATTTACCATACAGACTTAATCCCTCTTTAATTCCAAAAGTGTTTTTATACACAGAAGGATGTCTCTCTTCTTGAAAAATTTGCAGTGCTCTATTACATAAAAGTAAAATCATAGAAAAAATATACATTTCATTAAAAAATAAATTACAACTATACAATGATATTAAATAATTATAATACTTCTACTACTGTAACTAGTTCAAAAGCAAAATAAATTTTTAAATGCACTGACAAACATACTAAATATACTAACTTTCAATTATAACGTAAGAAAAATTCAAACACTTCCGTGCATTAATTTTTAACCCCTTGCCCTCTGACCTAAGTTCTGACAACACATGTCACTATCAAGACTTCAGCCATTTAATGGTTTGGCCAAGTGATCAAAGTCGTGCCAGTTGTAAACACCTTATGTTAAATAAATACACTGCCCTCCAAAAGTTAAGGAACAGCATGTAAATCTCACTATTACAAAAATGTCAGTAACATTTAAATTCACAATTTATATGCTTGATACTAACAAAGTTCAAGAAAATGTATATGCAAAAACAAAAGCTACCACTTTTATTTTATAGAAAGGAACACTTATATGGAAGTTGGAGAAAAAAGACAAAAATTTTAAGTATTGTTCCCGAGTGTTGATCTTCAATTGTTATTAGAAATTTCGTTGACAACATACAGGAGCGTCCATCAATGTCCAGGAGAAGTCGTTTGCCCGATTCGTTGAGGTGGCGAGCGATCGAATGGATGGATCGAAATGTCACAAGCTGATGCTGCTAGACATCTCAATATCTCTCGTAGTGTGATCCACCGACTCTGGAATCAGTTTGAATCCGAGGATTCTGTGTCTAGAAGACATGTTGCTAGAGTTACAACCGCTATTTAGCTCTTTCGGCCCGAAGGAGGAGTAACATTACTATGCCTCAGCTCATCGCAGATCATTTAGTGGCAACAGAAACAAGAATCTCAGCTACTAAAATGCGCAGAAGTCTGCAAAATACAGGTCTGTCTGCAAGACGACCAGTTGTTTCTGTCCCCTTGACAGAAGGACTCAGAAGTGCCTGTTTATGTCGGGCAAGAGAACACTTCTCCTGGACCAGTCAACAATGGGGGTCTCTTCTCTTCACAGACGAGTACAGGTTTACATTGAAGGGTAATTCAGGTCGTCAGCTGATCTGGAGGGAACAACGCATCAGATACAATTAATTTCACATTCTGAAAGACAACTACACAGGTGGTGGAATAATGGTTTGGGCTGGGATCTCTCTCGGTGGTCATACTGACCTGCACGTGCTCCATGGAGGAGCTTTGACCGGTGTGAGATATCGATCAAACCGATATCTCACACCTTGATCAATATGTCCGCCGATATGCCACTGCTACTGGTAGTGGATTTTTTCTGATGGGCGACAATGCGAGCTAGGGTTGCTGAAGAATATCTTGAGGGTCACGGTATGGAGCGTATGGAATGGCCAGCCCAGGCTTGAAGCCGATAGACCATCTTTGGGACTACCTTGGGAGAAAGGTTGCTGCTTTAAGTCCTCCAAGGTCGTTAGATGAGCTTGAACAAAGATTACTCCTGCTTCCCATTTCACTGATCGACAACGTAATTGATAGCATAGAATATCGCTGCCGCCAATGTATTGCAGCAAGGGGTGAACACTTTCCTTAATAGAGCCCATTTTTGTAATGTTACCACCCCATATTTCCTCAAAAAGCTGTGGTAAACTGCTTCTCCAAGACTGGATTTCTTGTTGTAATTCATGTTTGTATTGTACTTTAGAAACATTCTATGTGGCACACATTAAACAACTGTTTAGTGAACATGTCCTGTAAATTTCTTGATTCTACGTTGCTTCATTCTCAAATTATACACAAAAAACATACTGTTCCTTAACTTTTGGAGGGCAGTGTACATGTTCAAATACAACTGTTTAACTCTGTAAGATACAGCAAAAATAATTATGAATGATTCATCAGTGAAAAAATGATTTATTATGCGAAATTGAATAACAAAGCAATATTTTATTTCAATTTCTAAATAAATGTATGTTTTGAAGTGTCAACAGTTTTATGTTATGTTATGTAGAAGTGAGGGGGCCACCTAATATTTATCCTAAGTAAGCAGGTATTACCCCCCCCACACTAAATAGAAAACTAACAACATTCTGGCATCATTCCTCGAGTCGTGATGGAAAGTGTGACTACAAGTACTGCCACCGGAGGCGGCATCAACGGTACTCCTAACCTTTCAGCGTTAAATTAGCTCAAGTAAAAGGGATTAAATTACATGTTATACTGCGATATACATAGTTGTGCAGGTGCATATTTTAAGATGTTATCTATTGTAGTGGGTACAGGCAACATGTTTCAGGACATTATATATTGCATTAGAAACAGGCATGATGTTTCCACGTTACAAATCATTTTTGTAAACATGATCTGTTTACTATCAGAATTAATTAAGAACTATAAAATTGTTTACAAAGCTTACATTTAAGTACTGTTGTAAAATTGTGCTGAAACTTTAACAGCTCAATTTTGACGATTCATTATTTGCTGTAACGTACGTTTTTATGTTAATTTATTTTCAGAAATTATATTAGTGTCTAGAAATGCATTGTTATTTGCATGTAAAAATTGATCATGACATTATAAATTGTGGTGACTAAAAGCAACTTATTTCTATTGTATAGATCATGCCTACAATCATGACTTTTTACACAATTTTTTTTACAAACAGCTGTCAAAATTTCAGAAGAATATAAAATAATAAAAAAGACATAAATAAATAAGTCTGAAAACAAAAGAAAAAAAAGAGCTTCATTTGCATACTTATGCGTACTACGTATTGTTAGATATATCTGCATACATATGCTGATACGTTGCCAACTTATTTTTGTCAGTTCCTTGTATGCAAATACATGTGTTTTTACAATAATTAATTTACATGAATTACATTCTATGATACGAGGCCAATCCCCCCAAAAAAAAAAAGGTCTCCTGTATTTTTAGATATACAAAGAACCGTTTATTTTCTATAATTGCTACATCACTTTAAAGATTGAAGAATGCTTTATTTTTCAACATAATTGCCATTTCAGTCGATGCATTTTTGTAAACGCTGTGGCAGTTTTATAATGCCCATGTCATACCAGCTTGCCGCCATGCCCTTCAGGAAGCGTTGAACCTCATCTTTCACCTCATCATCGGAGCAGAACCGCCATCCAGACAAATGTCCCTTCAACTTCGCGGGAAGAATCAACCCGTTGCCATTTGTGGTCTTCTGTCAGCATACGCGGAACCCATCTTGCACACACCTTCCGATATTGCAACTTTTCCATTAAAATCCTGTGGATGGTGCTTCTGGAAACCTCAGGAACCAAAATGCAGAGAGCATCCAGAGTGATCCTCCGATCTTTACGCATGAGTTCCTCAACTTTCGCAATTGTCGGCCTCCCGCTCCGTTCTTCGTCATGAATTTCAGTACGACCGGCTGTAAACTCTCTACACCACTTGCAAACGTTTTTCACATCCATGCACGACTGTCCATACACTCCCGTCAATAGGTGGTGAATTTCAACCGGTTTAACGCCTTTTGCGTTCAAAAATCGAATAACTGTGCGCACTTCGCGGTAATGTTTATCGGGAGCTACATTTCGAATGGCTGCCAAGCCAAGACTGAGCATCCAAGTGAAGCGCCTGCGTGGTTATGTGGTAGCGGAGAAGGCATCACTCACAAAAGTGTTGCCAACAACCGTATTAAAACTTTCTCTACGTCCCCAAAAAATAGGAGACCTTTTTTTTGGGATTGCCCTCGTACATTACATTGTTGATACTTTACCAACTCAATGCTGGCTATTTATTATATGTGTTCATTTATCAGGTAATTGGTGACCTTATGATACATAGAAATGTAGGGGTCATCTATTACCATTTACCTGAAGTAAACAGATAGAAGCCCTTTACGCTACTTGTGAGTGACCTGTTTTGTGCTTCATATGGTTTGCGGTGCTTATTTCTTCCTTAGGTACGCCCGTGTACATTACATCTGCATTTAATTGCTTTATTTTGCTATTGCTGGAGCATTTCTTTGAAGGTTAAATTACATAGCTTTTGACTTCTAGCTGCCAAAAAGTCAATAACCTTCGTAATTTTATTCCTCAAGTGCTTATTCTTGACTGCATATCCTAAAAATGGGAATAAATCCTCTTCTGAATTTGACTTTTTTAGATGAAAGGAATCTGTAAACGGGCACGAAAATAGATAATGCTCGGGGTGAACCTTTTCACCACACGCACAGTAGTCTGATGAAGAGAGATTTCTTGCATACAGGTACGTGGGAAAGGGACCATGCCCCGTGATAAACTACATGATATGTCTGGAGAGATGGAGTGGAGGAGAGTCAACTTTGGGTAAGAGGTTGTAAACTCTTCTGCCTGTATTTGCACTGTCCACCATTGTTGCCATAAGTCTTTAGTTGTGATCTGAAGTTTTAGTTTAAATTGACAAGCTGGCCAGGGGATGCTTATTTTTTTGGTATTGATTCCTTGAGCTGCCTCCTTGCTATGCTATGTTATGTAGAACAAAGGGGGGCCACCTAATATTTACCCTAAGTAAGCAGGTATTAGCCCCACACACTAACTAGAAAACTAACAACATTCTGGCATCATTCCTCGAGTCGTGATGGAAATTGTGACTCCAGTGAGCACTATAAGTACTGCAACCGGCGGCGGCATCAACGGTACTCCTACCTTTCAGCGTTAAATTAGCTCAAGTAAAAGGGATTAAATTACATGATATACATTGCGAAATACATAGTTGCGCAGGTGCATATTTTGAAGATGTTATCTATTGTAGTGGGTACAGGCAACATGTTTCAAGACATTATATATTGCATTAGAAACAAGCGGGATGTTTCCACGTTACAAATCATTTTTGTAAACATGATCTGTTTACTATCAGAATTAATTAAGAACCGTAAAATTGTTTAGAAAGCTTACGCTGCCTCCTTGCTGGAAAACTTGCAGAAAAGTAATAATTTTTAATTGTGTAGTATCTTTTGAAGAATTTTGTAAAATGTAATGCTA